CATACACCCACTAACTGCTATCTGCACCCATCCGAAAGGAACCCCTAACACTTTGCCCTCAGAACAAAATCATAACCATGCTCGATCAGAAGTGTCCCGGACCATGGCATCACTCCTCAATCTGCTACGGTGCATGGTACTCGAACCATGACATCACTCCTCGATCTGCTACGATGCATGGTACTTGAACCATGACGTCACTCTTCAATCCGCTACGATGCATGGTACTCGAACCATGACGACTCCTCTCGATCACCTCTAGATCTCTCGTCCCTACTTGTTTCCCTAGTACCTTAAGGATTCTTACTTGGACTGCTCACTAATCTGGTGTCTTCAGTAGTATGGGCCCTATACTACCGCCTACACCGCATCATTATTCATCCCAAGTCCTCCTCCTAGGATCCCAGATCACAAGTACTCTGATCTCGCTATGCATAGTCTACTCTCCAGCAAACCTCTCATAAGCGCCTCGCTGCTACCTACTCACTCTCAAGCATCTCATAATAGCAGAAATCTCCTATGCTAAGGCATCACAAATCAGGCCACTCTAGTCCTAATATGATTACCTAGCCTACTCTTACATGCATATCATATCATATCATAACTCATAACACATAATGTAAGGGTATTTTGGGAAACACCATTCGGGCGGTGGCTGATCATACACACTACTCTGCTCTGCTCTTTCAAACCTTTTACTATTTTAGAAAAACTTGTTTTATTTTAAAAAAAACCTCTCAAATCCTCAGTTTGATACAACTTGTAACACCGTAAAAACTTAAAACAATTTTTCATAGTTTAAAGCATACTTTTATTTACAATATTAAAAATCTCATTGTTTCTCATAACAAAAAAAAAAGTCAAAAGCCCAAGATCATAACATATGTAAAACTCCACACGTGTGTGTACTGATCATGTCGGCCCTTTCCCGCGATCCTCACTGGTACCTAAAACACATCACACAAACATAGTAAGCACAAGGCTTAGTGAGTTCCCCAAAATACCACATACAACACATACGCCACTCGAGGCTACTGTACGACACTCCGGTCGATGTGTCTTAGTAGGACCCACCAGACCCGTAGCTTGTTGGACCCTCTGGTTCGGTCATAGCTCGTTGGACCCTCCGTCCCAGTCTATCTCGTTGGACCCTCCGGTCCAGTCTGAATCGTTGGACCCTTCGGTCTGGTCTATATCGTTGGACGCTTCGGTCCGGTCTATACAACGCATAACATAATCATAACACATAGCACATAAACACATACATACTCATAGCATATATGACCCTCCATTCTACACGTAACTACCACTCCAGGTAATGTATAGTGAAAAGAATCACCTCGGGTGAAGACCAGCTCCTAAAAATGCCGCTGCCATGCACTGGCCTCTAACTCTACACCAACCCACAATTATCTTAATTAGGAGCTAAGTCTAACTTCCCACTTATCAAGTCAAAGGATAGTCCACCGACCAACCTACAAATGCCCTAAGCCCATTGGGCCCACCAAGGCCTAATAATAAATGGTCCCACACACGGCCCAATTCCTAAATAGAGAGGCAAGCCCACCCTAAGGGCCCCAAACACAATTATACCCTCCCCTGGTACAAAACTCTATTGTGTGACGTCCAAAATCCAGCCCCATCTCCTAAAGCCCAACACAAAGCTTAGCCAAAAAACCCCCAAAAGGAGTTACGTGGGGCATACCCCCTTTGGTACACTTAGCGTACCTAGACGCGCATGGATCTAATCGGGGCCTCAAACGAGTACGTTGCGCGTTCCTAGACTTACGCCAAGCGTAAGTCCTAGACTTACAATTCCTCTGATTTCGATCTGAATGGGTTAAGACAAAAGCTCAAAACTCAAATCTGGACATTCCTCAATCTCCCAAAACATATAGTCGAGACCTTTAGGCCTTTGCATGGCTAAAAAGGTTATAACTCCCTTCAACCTTTTATCCCCTTTTCTATTTAAGACCAAACTCATGCATGACTCCGTAACCATGATCAAGATTGGATTTTTATGGCTCTACAACACACATATCACTGAAATGGGATAGATCTAGGTCCGTAGAGTCCCTTTTGCTCATAAAGTCTCCACCTTTGAGACTTAAACCCTAGAAATGGACCATGAAGCATAAAACAAGAAGGGGAAGGAAAGCTAGGAGCTTTTTACCTCAGAAAGAAGCTCCAACCCATGTAGAACTCGGATCTACTCTTGCTCTCCAACTTCAAGCTCTTCCAATGGCCTCCTTTTCACCTTCTTCACCTTGAAATGGAACCATCAAGCTTAAAAACACACACATAAGCCCACTACGGGTTTTCTTCTCTCTTAGGGTTCCCTTTCTGAATAATGGTGGTTGGACAAAAGGCCTTTACATCCCTCTTATAGTGCACAAGCCAGAATTAGGGTTTTGAGTCTGGGCTCACTACGCCTAGCGTAATTTAAGGTACGCCAGCTTACCGCGTATACTCTGCATCCAACTTAAGCGCATGAGTACGCGCATCGTACTCCTTTGTACGCCCAGCATACTCATCTGTGACAATTCTCATTTATGGGTCAAACTTGACATTTTAGCAGAACAATAAGGGTTAAATAAATATACTCCAAATTCCCGGGTATTACAAAAAACTTATGCACAAGAAAAGCCTGCATATCATTGATAAAATGAGTAACTCACTTGTAAATCAACATTTGTAAGAAACACGTAGACTGCTTTTCGGAGGAGTTGAAACCAAAATGAAGATTTTATGCACCTTATTTGCGGGCAATCTGCTTTTCAAACCTGTACATTATTGCAAACACCATAACCACATAAAGTAAAGGAACAATTTTGATCGAGGCTTTGGCCTCTTTTGCCAAAAGTAATAAAACAACTAAATTCTTCATATATGTATAACATATATAAAAAGTGAAACCTAACCAGTAATTGGACAACTGAAGTAAATATATAATAAATTAGAGAACATAGGAACTGCCAGAAAAATGAAGTGAAGGCAGCATTTGATCAAGAAGATAAGAAATGGCTACTGAGATTATCAAGAAGGCAAGATCATTGCTCCAAATCAGTCTAAACGATTCAATTTAAAGAGTTTGTTGTTGCAAGGAGTCAAGAGGATTAACCATCATTAATTTGTATCTCATGCCTAAATCGCAATCACTAATCAACACCGAAACTCAAGGAATGAAGGAACCAAGGGGACGTTTACTTTTCCCAAAAAACAAAATGATTCTCATGTCAAATGGTTGTGTCGTTCCTGTTCCACTCATCAGATGTGTGATGTTCCCGAGTCTCGCATGATAAACTCCTAAGCAAGCTAACCTAACATGATTTGGGCCAGAAAATAGTATAGGCTAATAATATACAATTCAAATAAAATTAGGCTCTAGATTTTTATAGGGCCCTATTCAGTGGAAAATTTTGAACATGCCTTGGGCCGGCAATGCCCCAATGCTCCACTAAAGTCCGCCAATATATATATATATATATATATATATATATATATATATATATATATATATATATATATATATATATATATATATATTTTGGTAGGAAGGTAAGAAGTTTTTTTTCTACATATTTTTTTGACGAACAAAAAAAATGAATCACTAGTTGATTCATTTGTAACATGATTCACAAGAAAAAATTCTCAAAAAAACATCTTTACGATTCATTTTTAAGTAAATTAAGAAAAAATTTACTTTTATGACAATTTTAGTGAATAACAACAAAATCATTATATAAATGAATCATCGAGATGTTTTTTTGAGAATTTTTCCTTGTGAATCATCTTACAAATGAATCATCTAATGATTCATTTTGTTTGTTGGTGAAAAAAATATGTAGAAAAAAAACTTCTTACCTTCCTACCAAAAATTTTCTTCTTATTTGATCTTGACTCTCTCTCTCTCTCTCTCTCTCTCTCTCTCTCTCTCTCTCTATATATATATATATATATATATATATATATATATATATATATATATATATATATATATATATATATAGATAACATGTGCTAAATAAAATTGGGTCTTCTTTTTGGGTTCAAAAAAACCAAGAGAAACGCAACAATCGGTAATTCATTTCCCTCATGAACCGATGTATATTTTTACTAAGCACGTGGGGAGAACTCATTCAAGTGTGTGCTTAGTGTGTTTACCTCTTATTTCTTGTCCTTTTCAGAGTGTAGTTAGAGTTTCTTTATGATTTTTCCTGGTGCAACTTTGTGATTGTGACTGATTGAGAGTTTTGTTGTGAGCTGTTTCGTCTGTAAAAGTATTTGTTTATTGAATTCTACACCTTTTCACATGGTAATAGGAGCTGTTTTTTGAGATCTTTCAAATCGTTTAGAACTTTCTCTAGGATATCAATAGGATTTTACCATGTATTTAGTTGCAATGTAAATACTCCATTCAATTTGTCTGAAATTATGATTTTTTTCCTACTTTTAATCCCAGATAGCAAACTTGAGTATGATCCCAATATCTTGTTTATTTGATGTTGCATTTGATAAGATTCGATATTCACGAGACACGAAGGTCAGTATTTTGGTTGTTCTTGTTCGTGGTGTTGTGATGGCTAAAAGGCGTGCTCTGTAAAGTTGCTTGATGTTATTTATGTGGAATTTTGCATGATTTTTCATGTTTTTTGTTAGGAACAAGGAAATATAATTTGCTTATACATTTGTATAAGCCATATATTTCCTATGATTTGTTTTTTAAATATTTGCTTATACTTTTAGCAAGATAAATATTTTATTTCTTACTAATGTTTTTTTTCTGGACGTAAATATAATTTGTAATTTGATGCATTGTGAATTCCAACAATACCACACAAGGACATTTTACATTATCTCAAAACCAATTTGCTTATACTTTTGGCTAGATATAAATATATTTTTTCATAATAATGTTCTTTTTGACGTAAATACTATATTTAATTTGATGCATTGTGAATTCCAACAATACCACGCAAGATGTTTTGTGGAGGTGCATACTTGCTTATTATGCATATACTTAAACAATCTTTAAAGTTTAGAAGAAAAAAAAACAATCATTTTTATGTAGTTTGTAAACATCAAAAAACAAAATTTATTTCTTTATTTCTTTTCTTTTTCAAACTAGAAACGTTTAGTCCAATTCTTCTTTTGTGCATATAGTCTTTAGACGTTTTAGTTCACTTACCCATTTTAGGTGTTCACCCTACACTTTATAACAAATCCCCAAAATATAATTGTTTTCCTTTGTTATTCATCAAATATAAATTCAATAAACCTATAAACGATTATTGTGATCATTTAATTATACTTACTATACACTGCATTTGTTTTATAAACAAATAACTTTTGTATATCTAATGCCATATGGAAACTAACACACTCTTACTTCTCTAGAGCAGGCATGGCATCAACTCTAGACTCATGCAACTTCCTCTTGTAGCAGCCGATACGGTTGATCAGAGTCACCATTTTCAACTTTTGGTAACTCATTCAAATTCTTCTCCCTATAAAACCAAATAAAATTTCATAAGATAGTATATCACATGACAAGACATGACAAGAAAGAATAGCATAGGATTAAAATAGACTAGACAAGACAACACCAGACTAGATGGGACTGGACAAGCTTTGTAAAGTTATTTAGACTACTTTCAATGACATTCATGTCTTTTTGTCCTACTGACATCAGTCTGAATCCAGGTTTCAGTACAAACTATTATGTCATGTTATACAGAGTCATAGCGGAAGAAGACTTACGTTTTCGAATATATGACAAGACCAATGCCAACGAGGAAAAACGAGACGTAGTATAGCCAGTCCACCTGCAACGAAAATATGGTAAAAAAAATGGGAATAATAAAACAAGTTAAATGATTTCTATTTGTGGATTTGGAGAGATTACCTTTTGATGGTATAAAAATACACGAATGACCACTGCCCACATATCGGCTGTGAGTAACGAGAGATTAAATAGTGTGGCTCCACTAGCCTGCGTAAATTCCACCATTTTTATAACAACCTAATATATAAGGTTTTTGCCTTTTTTTTTTTTTTTTTTTTTACTTTTTATGGAATGTTTAACGAACCTGTAGAACAAGAGGCGTCAAAGAAAGGAACATAAAGCCTGATACCCCATAACCAGCAAAGGTCAAGATCTAAAATATCAAATCATGCTTTGAAAATATGGAGTAGAAAAAGATGGAAAGAAGCACAAAGTTTTAGGGTGTGTTTGGTTGTGTAAAACTGTTTTCATTCTCTAGAAAATGTTTTCAAAAAATAGAGTTGAGTTTTCGTTCTCAGTTTTTGATGAAAATTTTATAAAACGCGTTGGGGAGTTTTCATTTTTCATTTTTCATTTTAAAAATTTAGAAAACTGTAAAAATCACATTTCTAATTTCCATACAAACTGAAAAAAATTTCTTGGAAAATGTTTGAGAACTGAAACAACCAAACGCGTTTTCAAAGTTTTCATTTTCATTTGAAAAATTTCATGGAAAACTAGAAAACTTCCCACAACCAAACGTACCCTTAGTTACAAACAAAAAAAGACCCCATTTGTCACTCAGGCCAGGGCAATATACAACTGATGTTAATAGGACAAAAATTGAAATTTTGGGAAAAAGACGTAAAAGCCCTTCTCATCTTCGTTATCAAAATAGCCCTAGAAAGTTGGTCCAATCGGGTCTCGTCCTATTTAACAAACATAAAATATAAGACAATCACTTACAACTTCCGGAGACCAAGATATGGATTCAATATTCTTCCTCTCAAAAAATATCCTAAGGAAGTGTTATGGAAAACAAAGTGTTGTACTTAAGGTATTGAGATTGAAAACAAACTGTTGTATTTCCTCAAAAGATTTAAGTTTACTCAGAGATTATTGACCTAGTCTATAACTTAAAGATTTGGGTGTTTATAATGAAATGAGAAAAATAGCCACTTTTATAAGCCTTAAGTGGGCCATGAATCGGTAGTATCAGAAACTTAAATCCTACTTTTAACATAAAAGGATACATCTCAGCAATGCTCACAAGCATTCCAAATAAACCAAGCATCGTTAGTACTTCAATCCGATCAACTTTCTTAACACAAAACTCCTGCATAATTAATAGATATTTATTAGATGATACAATACAACCGTTTAAGTAAGCTTATATGTTTTCGGGGTGTTTGGAGACAACAAAGCTTCGTTTGTTACACATGACATGACAGAACATGTTGCACTGCGATTGATATGCATTGGACTATGACTAGGATTGCAAGTGACGTCAATAAAAACAAAACTGACAAGTGTTTTGTCCCACATAAAAATATAGATGGACTCATCTCGATCTCTTGTAAGTGCAAAAGACGTAAATGTCCTCCTCATCCTGATCGTAAAAAATAGTTGTATGTAGAAATGGAAACTATACGACTAACCTCTCCTACATTACTCAATGCAAAAAAGCATGTCCCTGCAATGACTAGAATATCACCAAAAATAGGATTCCGGCCGCTTGAACCACCAACTCCGGAATCGGAAAGTAGCACTAAAAATAGGCCGGAAACACAAAGAGCCGCCCCGAAAAACTGCCATAATGAATACTTTGTGCCAAGAAATATCCAAGTGAGAATTATCACCCAAACAACTGTCGAGCAATCAAGCATTGTCACGCTTGTGATTGATGAAAATTGGTATGCGGTATTAACTGCAATGAGTGAAAAAATCATTGGTTAGTTATAATATTGTAAAATTATAGTCGTGGGGTTTTACTAATTCATTGAATTCAAATGGGGTTTTGATCAAATTGTCTTTTTGTTGGAGAAATAATAAATCTTGTAAAATCTTTAATTGAAGGGATAAATGTATGAAATAGGATGGCATTCCCATTGATTTGTATGAACCCAACCGGCCGGTCGAACCGGTTTGACCGGGAATTGGGGGAGGAAGCGGTCCAATTATCACCGGTTTTACATTGATTTTTAAACCGGATTGAACCGGCCGGTTTTTAGAAAAAACTGGTTGAATTGGTCAAAATAAACCGGTTGAACCAAATAAAAACACATGAAAAAGAACAATTTACATAATAAATTTTGGTGATTTTTTTCATATCTATTTAGTTTTTCTCTAAACGAAAACATATGGTAAATGTTATAAAGTTTTTTGATGTGTTGTATTCATTTAAAACTATATTTAGTTACGGTATTATACTTTATTTTCTTTTTGACGTATATGGATTGATGTAAACATTAAAATGTATGAGTATGTTTTATTTTAATATATTTGGATTTATCTACAACTTATTTTTATGTGTATGTTTGATGTTTGAATATGTAAACATTAAATTAATGATTTATATATGTATGTATATGTAGAAAAATAAGAAAAAAATCATGAAAACTATAAAAACTGGTTGACCCGACAGTCGAACCGGTTAAACGTTAACCGGGAACCGATCACCATACCAGTTCAACTAAAAAATCGGTTTTTAAAACATTGATTGTACACAAATAAAAAAAAATACGTTGCTTTTTTTTTTTTATTTAGCCAAGAATTAAATGAGTAAATCCAAGACAATATGACTTACCAAGATAACTGCCTTGCACATCTACAAATCCTAAGAGAACATACCAATACCAAGAAATCTGCAAATCTCAATCAAGATTCATCACAAACACAAAACAAATAATCACAACACTTTATTTTGAAAAGGAAGAAGATACACAAATTCAGATCCAAAGAAACACAAGATGCAAATGTAATAATTTAAGTTATTTTCAGACTTACCTTTAGCTTTTGACGACGATAGAGTAAGACACTTCCGAAAACCAAAGTTGAAGCAAAATAAGAGAAAAATGCTAACGTAAAGGGTGCATTAACGCCTACAAAGAAAAAATCAGATAAACCCGTTGAATCGATTCATTAGAAACATGAAATTTGAAGATGGAAATTAAAGTTTAATTTAACCTAGATTAGCAGATAAAGATGAGCTGAAGCTCATAAGGGCCATTGAAAACGACACCGATTGACCCAATAACACCACATACAACACCCTCCAAAATCCACCGGATTTTAGACTGTTCATGGGGGAATTCATATCAGTGTAGCTCAGTGAAACTCGTCAATGGAATTCAGTTGTATTTCGAGGAAATCTTCGAAACCCAATTGGGAAGAAAAATATCTTATCTTTTATCGAATTATGTCGATTGTAGGATTGGGCATCGATTTTCTCAAAATGGGTTGTTGGGGCTTCTCTAATTAATGGGTTATTGAAGTGAGTAATGGCGGGAGTGTAGATTCTCCGGTGGACTGGTGGATGTACCAACCGATCGGATCGGCACGTGCTAGTGCTAGTGCTACTGCCAAATTTGTAACTTTATAATGGGACCAATTAATTTAGGGTTTATTCATTCTTATCACTTAATTTTTGGTTTTATGTTCATTTGATCACTTAATTATTTTTAATTTTTAAAAATTCATCAAACTTTTGGCTTTATGCTCATCTAATCACTTAATTTTTAGTTTGATCATATTTAGTCACCTAACTTTTAAAATTGTGCTCATTTAGTCACTAAACTTTTAAATTTTTTCAAAAGTTTAATAACTAAATGAGCACAAAGTCAAAAGTTTAATGATCTTTTAAAACTTAAAAATAGTTAAGTGACCAAATGAGCACAAAACAAAAAGTTAAGTGACCAAAAATGACCTAAACCCGTTAATTTAATATTATTATTTTTGCTACATCCCATCAACGTTTATTTATAAATAAATAAACAAAGAAAAAGTAATGGATTCATTAATTAATTTTTTTTAAAGGTATCAAACAAATATATTAAAACAAAGCTAGCAAGATGTAGGGGTAGAGATTATTAAGACACCTAGGGTTAGAGTTACGAGACGAGAACCAACGAAACGAAATAACAATAACGGAATAAAAAATCTTATCTTTTCTAGGCTTATTACTACTAAACAAAATATCATCATGGAACATCCAAAGCACTCAAATGACCACAGAAAATACCGAGTCAGCAATCGCCCGTTTTGTCTAACATTAGGCCTCGCATCAATCCAGTCCATCATGTCTCTCATAGTGAGAAAAACATGGATATCCAAATCAAACCAACGACTAACCCGCCTCCAAATTTGAGTTGTAATTGTGCACTGAATAAACAAGTGCAACACGTCTTCAGTAGCATCGTTACACAGTGGACACAAAACCGAGTCAAGATCCACCTCTCTCTCCACCAACTTCGACCTAACAGGGAGCTTATCCATCAATAAAACCCAAATAAAAACATTTATTTTAATAGGAACTGAGTGATTCCATCGAGTGGGCAAGGAACCCGACGGAAGTCTCGAATCATCGATCAAATTCCTAGTCGATTTAACCGAAATGCACCCCGAATTATCCAGATTCTAAACCTATTTGTCTGACTCTGTGCTAAGCTGAAACCCATCCAATAAAGACATCAAACTCGAAAGCTGCTCGTGTTCAACCCCTCCTCTAATATCATGACGCCAAGCAAAAACACAACCCGTCGGTGACCAATAGTCTCTAACTAAAGAAGTTTGATTAGAAGTTAGTGCAAACAATCTTCCGAATTGCAAAACAATAGGAACATCCAAGCACCAAACATCGTGCCAAAACTGAATAGTAGCTCCATTACCGATCACTCTATCCATGACATTTGAAGGCAGTAAACCACTCTCATGAAGATGATTAATAGACCCAATAATTTTTTTCCAAACACCACCACCACTTTGTATTCTCGAGCCCGCAGAAAAAGCTCCCCCTTCACCATAAAAAACTTCAAAACTTTCACCTATCAGGCTTCAGTCTCATTAAAAAATCTCCATTTCCATTTATATGAAAGAACCAGATTAAAAGCATTTAAACTACCAATACCCAAACCACCCTGGTTAAAAGAGTTAAACGCCAAATTCCACTTAACCCAACGAATACGTTTTTGACCCTCTGCCATACCCCGAAAAACGAGCCCTCATATTCTCCAAAGCCTGCAAGACAACAATAGGAGGCCTAAAAATAGATAAGTAATAAATGTTAAGGCTACCCAGGATTGACTTAACAAGAGTTAAACAACCACCGATTGATAACAATTTAGCTTTCCAAGATGCCGATCGCTTCTTGAAGTGATCTATAATTATTTTCCATCCTTTAACACGTACCATATATTCGCCAATCGGAACACCAAGATACACAAACAGAAAAGATCGACCTGAGCAGCCTGTAAATGAAGCGAGATTGGTAATTTCAGACCTACCAACCCCCACGCCATAAATACTAGATTTAGAAAGGTTGAGATTTAGTCCTGAGACTAAATAAAAACATCTCAACACCCGAATCAAATTTAAGACATTATTCTCATTCCACTCTCCCAGAAAAATAGCATCATCTGCATAAAACAAATGAGAGATAGCTAAATCATGTGACTCAATTTGGCCCCCCCTAAACATACCTTCTAACACTGCATCCTCCATAGCAATATGAAGACCCTCCATAGCAATAATGTAGAGAAAAGGCAACAAAGGGTCACCTTGCCTCAACCCTCTAAACAACTGAAACTCATCTGTAGGGCAACCATTCAAAAGAACTAAAGAACAAGCATTAGAAAACATCCCCCCTGATCCACACTCTCCATCTCTCCCCAAAACTGAGAAACATGATAATCTTGTCAATATAATCCCAACTAACTTAATCATATGCTTTTCCAAAGTCAACTTTAAAAATCATTAATTTCTTCTTCTTGTGGTTAAACCACCGAACCATCGCATTCACAAGAAGATGACCATTTAGATTTTCCTGGAGTTGAGAAAAGCAGATTGCTCCAACCAAATAACATCATGCAGTACCGGTGCTAACCTATTAGCTAACAACTTAGCAATAATCTTAAATTGCATGCCAATGAGACTAATAGGCCAATAATCATTGATACGAATAGGATTTTCAATCTTAGGAAAAAATGTAATAAAAGAAGAATTACATCCAATGGGAAACCTAGGATTGACATAAAATTCCTGCACAAAAGTCACAACATCATCACTCAAAATCTCCCAAAAATACCTGAAAAACCGAAAAGAGAATCCATCAGGACCTGTCGCCTGGTCCAACCCACAATTCCACGCCGCACTCTTGATCTCTTCACTAGAGAATCCTAAATCTAGACAATTAGTTGTACCAAGATCAACAGATCTGAATCTATCACTCTTACGGCCCTTCGAAACTCCTTTAAAAGGTTGGAATTTAGAAGCATAAAAATCATGAAAGGCTTTTTAACTTGAGGTGGGTCCGCAACCTACTCCCCATCAATATAGATCCCTCCAATAAGTCTTTGACGTCTTCGTTGCTTCAACATGGCATGAAAAAAAGCTAAATTCTCATCCCCCTCGATAACCTATTTAAATCGAGCTTTTTGGGCTGAATCAAGAGACCGAGACTTTTCCAAGGAAGCTACATCACCGAGAATAGCCCTTCTCTCCCGATCCAAATCATCACACGAGCCACCATCATCAAAGATCTTATCAATGTCAACCAATCTAGATAGGAGACGGTTACTAGAAACTCTAGATTCCTCCTTATAACCCTGAACCCATTTTTTTATTAGGTCTTTCAAGAATTTAAGTTTATTTTTGAACAAAACAAACTTACTCCAAGGCCTGTCATCCACAAACTCCTTATGATCATCTTTCACCGTATCATTAAAACCAATCAAGCTCTAACCAAGAGTTGAAGAATTTAAATGATGAAGGACCATTATCCACCAAAGACACATGCAAGAAAATAGGGCAATGATCAGACCACCTTCTATCAAGAACCGAAACTTGAAGGTGGTCAAATCTATCATAAAAAGCTTCATCCACCAGAAACCTATCCAACCTACTTAACTTGGAACCAATAGCGTCGATTCTAGTGAACTGCTTCCCAATCATAGGAACATTTATGAGACCCATATCATCAATAAAATCATTAAAAGCAAAAGCCATAATAGGACAAAAAACTGACCCCATTCTTTCAGTCACCTCCCTAACAACATTAAAGTCTCCAAAAAACACGTAGTCCCCCCCCCCCACACACACACACATTCTTCCTTTTAAAAATCCTTAAGATATTGCCACAGGTCAAATTTCTCTCAAACTCCTTGAGGAGCGTACATATTAACCATGTAACAAGGAAAACTAAAAGGAACCCAAACTCCTCCAACTATAACCACATTATCTGTACAATGAACACTGCTTTTTGCAAACACATTAGGGTCCCAAACAAAAAGAATACCCCCTAAGAGACCCCGAGCACAACTACATTCAAAATCAAAACATGGATTACCCCCACATACTCCTGACTTTGAACAAATCAATATTTGTGATTCTAGTCTCCTGTAACCCTAGAAAAGACACCCCATTTTGGATACACAACGAATGAACCCAACTTCTTTTTTGAGAAGTTCGGGTACCATAATTATTTAAAGATAGACAATTCATCTATCCACTTGTACCACACCAATACTAGAAAAGATTTTAAAAACCTTACCCTTATGAGATTTCATGTCATACCCAAGAAGATCACCCATTTCAAATTATTGTTTCAAGGCATCCTCAATATCTTCTACACCCATCGGAACTCTCTTCTTTAACAACGTAGAAGAATCATGTGAACTAAAGGATCTCAAAGCCGAGGCATTAAGATTAAAATTCAAATGTAGCTTCTCATGCTGGAACTTCCTCAGCCAAAAAAAGAAACCCTCTCGGGCCTAGTCGGCAACGTCACCGATGCATCAATTGGGATCGATGCGACCCACTCATCATATTCAAAGCATATATCCACCTTCTTCTTCCTTCCACTAGTTTGAAAAAAATGACCTTTTCTATCTACAAAACCGGCTCCTTTGTCAACTAAATTTGGATTGCTATCCACATTAAAAGAATCTGCCACCTCCTCATCACCCTTACCTTCCTGACAATCCTTTTGTAGATCACACACACATTCATCAATAAAAAAATCATTAGCTTCCTCTTCATCAGACAAGTCTAGAATATCCGAACCCACCTCCCCCTCTTCCAATATATCCGGTTTCCAATTAGAAACTTCACAAACTGTCACATCATACTTAATACCTTGGGCAACCACTATAACTGTCTCATGTATCAAAGCCGACTTAGAAGTCTTAATACATACCCTCTTGATTACCAAAGGAGCATCCCTATGATCATCTAGAAAACATACATCACCCCACATGCTAGCCACCTTAGAAACAACATCTTCATTCCATGCACAACAAGTCAACCCAGTCATCTGAATCCACACAACTCTTTCCTAAACAAAAAAACCCATTTACAACTGGCCTAAACAAAGAGAAATAGGCCTTAATACCATTACATTTCTTGAACTTGGCACAAACCTCTTCAAACAAAAATGTCAAATATACCCAATCACTAGCAAAATACTTGATTTGAAGATCATCAAAACCTTCTTCTTTTAATAACACACAAAAATTTTGAATCAACATAATATCCCTGAGTTTCACAAACACCGAAGCCTTTAAGGACATATTATTGCATATCTCTTTCCCAGACAAAGTACAAACATTAGGTTTAGGCCCTTTCAGCTTATGTATGCGCTTGCCCCTCTTAACCACAATCGCATAGGATTCGAGCCCCAACCCATTAAGTTTCGACACCCCTTGATCACCATGTGCATGTGAATTAGAATGCCCTTTATGATCAGATTCTCGTTGAAAGCATTCCACTGAAGCAAAAAGATGGTATGAACCCAACCAAATATCTCTAATCTTACTTTCCAACAGTTTCTCATCTAACACTTTAATGAAACAAACAAATGCAAAATGTTTACCTAATTTGGATAGCTTCTTTGCAATGTAAACATCTACGATAGTCCCCACCTTCGCACATCCATCCCATAATTCATTCACTCCGAAATTAATAGGACAATTTGTCAAATAAAATGGGGAAGAAACCTTTTCAATCAATTACAGGTTGCCGACCTGAGTCCGAGACCGACTCCCAGACTCATTCCCAACCATCGATGTCGTAAAAAATAATCACAGGAGAAAAACACCCCGATGTTTGATCCCACTGGAGAATAAAGAAGACGCCTGCAAGAAAGACCCAATTGTCAGACCTTTAGGTACAGTTTTGATATACGTAGGTTTTATATTATTGTGTTTAGTAATTAATTATTAAAAAAAAATTAACTATTTTTTCTATATTTCTCGTTTGGTATGTTATATTTTAAATATTTTATATATAAATTTGTAACTTTTTTAACTTTACCGTCAAATATAGGAAATAATATAAGGGTAAATGTATATTAATAGTTGATTAAATAAAAAACGATAAAATACATATTAACATAATGTTATTTTATCTTTCAAATTTTATGTTATTTTAAAATTTTTGATAATTAACTTTTTATTTTTATTATATGAGCTTCTATAAAATAGTAGTATGTTATTTATAGACTTTTAGATTTTTCTCTAAAGTGCCAATATTATAAAAAGCTAACCCAGAAAAGCAAGTAGTTAAAAAGGAGCAAGAAGAATTACACAATAGATTGTTTTAAAATGGAAAAGGGGAAAAACAAAAAATTTCCCAAGAACAAATAACATCATTATTTGTATATGCAAGCCATATGAACACAATTGATTTAATGGTCTCCACCACTTTAGTTGGATTCATGAATCTTGCGTGGAATAAACTATCATTGCGATCCCACCATAGACTCCATAAAATCCCATAAGAGATTATTATTATCATGTCCCTTATCTTTTGATTAGTACTCCAATTCACTATAAAGTTGAGTAATTCTCTTATGTTTTGAACCTATAGGTTGTTAATACCACACCACCAAAGAATAGAGTCTATGATTGTTTTCACAAAGGAACAAATGCCAAAATGTGATTTACATCATCAATACCATCAATACAAGATCTGCAAGAACATGTGTCAATGTTGATACCTTGTTTACGAGGGTGGTGGATGAGGGAATTCAAGTCAATAGGACCCTCCAAATATACGTGATTAATTTAATAGGAATGAGTTTGCACCAGTTGATTGGAGAGGGGTTACTAATCACCTTAATTTCCGCCTCAATCCGATTCATCGTGATGTCAACTTTGTATAAACTTTCAGATGCAAGAATACATCAGATGTAGTCATCACTTGGAAGGAAGCGAGTTGATTCAGTGTCCGCCAATAGGTTATCGAGATCAGCGGTGAGACCAACATCAATCGGGTTAGATGCCCATTGCCAATTGTTTCCATTTGTGTTGAGTCTTCCAGCCACCTTGCATGACTTCTTTCTATCTCACTCGTACAACCTAAGATATGTAACATTTAATTTCTCCGATCGCACCCATATGTCATGCCAGGATTGTGTTTTGTTACCCGTTTTGACAATTTGTCTAAAGATATCATTGAATCTAAATCCCATTTACCTAATTTCATTTTTCGCACCAACTATGTTCTTCGAAACACTAGTAATATTCTTTTTGGCAATATAATTTGCAGGTTTGTTCTCCAAGTTAAGGATACTTGTTATGACTTTTTCCCATAAGGATATAGATTCGGTTTTAAGTCTCCACCACCATTTGATCAGGAGCGCAATATTGAGCACACAAATGGAACCTACTCCTAGACCACCATCAACTTTAGAGGTGATTAATTTTTCCCAAGAGATCCAATGGATTTTGTTCCTGTCTATATTACTGCCCCATAAAAAAATTTCAAATTTTTTCAAGCTCTTCAATGACACCAATGGGGGCATGAAATAACGACACATAATAGGTGGGAAGATTTCCTAGTACCGCCTTGATTAGAGTTAAACGTCCACCAAACAAGATGGTTTTGGATTTCCAACGGGAAAGCTTATTATGAATTTTTCAATAATAGCTTTCCAATGCTTTTTCAGGTTTAAGTTTGCTCTAAATGGGACACCTATGTATGTGAAAGGTAGGGAGGAAACGTCGCAACTAAGAAGGTCTTCGGATTGAGAGGTTTCAACTGCAGATGCTCCAACACTGATTACCTTTGATTTATGAAGATTAACCTGTAAGCCAGACGATACCTAAAAACATTTGAGAATGGAAGAAACATTTTTCAAATTAGAGTAGGACCACTCACCAATGAATAATACAAAATGGGTGTAGAACGAGTAGGATAATAATGGTCTGTTTCAAAGGACTTTGATTCCTTTGAACATTTCTTTGTCTGTTGTGGTCTTCATCACAAAATTCTATCATTATTATGAAAACGGAGGAGAGTGGATCTCCTTGTCTGACACCTTTCGTGATGTTGAATGCGTTAGTTGGAGAACCACTGACAACTACTGAAGCACGAGAGGAGTACAAGCATCCACAAATCCATGATCTCCATTTGTAACGTCCTAAAAATCATTAGTGAAAATTTTCCTTTAAATCAATCAAAACAATCATTCATTCATTTATAAAATCTCATCATAGTATAAAAACATGTTATATAATCATTAGAGTACAAAACAAATTGAATCATGTGGAATACTGGTAGATGTGGTGCAATCATCAAGCTCTTCCCCTTAGAACCAGAATTACCTGAAACCATAAACATAAAACTATAAGCACAAAGCTCAGTGAGTTTCCCCAATATAACCAATACCATATGTACATATCATCTTGAAGCTATAACAAGTCTATTTCACCTCTAGCCCTATTTCATCCTAGAGTGTATTTTAACTCAATCAATGTTTTTCAACCAAACGAGTCTATTTCACCTCAGAGCTATTTCATCCCAGAGTTTATTTCAACTCAATCGGTAGTTTTCAAATGAACAGGTCCATCCCCCCCCCCCCCCCCCCCCGAGTCTATTTCAACCTACATACATAAAACATACAAGCATATCAGCAAGAGTTACAAAGACAACAAACATATATAGGCATATCAACAAGTGTCACAAACATAACTATCATCCTACAAACATAATCCTATGGGCCGACATTAGTGCCTTTGACCCACAAGTATACTAAAGAGACTCACCTCAATCAGCCAATGAACATATCACACACTCGAGGTGTTGGTGTTGAAGTCTCTCCCACTAAACATATCAAAAACCAAACCTTTATTAGCTATTAGGATAAATCCTTCAACTCAACAAGTCCAAAAGACCAAGGTTATCTTCATTTGGGCCAAAGACCATTTTTCCATTCAATGTCCTTAATCCTCTCAGTTGACCAAAAGTCAATTTAGTCAAAAAGTCAACAGCCAATGTCAACGGTCAACCCTTCCTTTAGATAACCCTCACGTCATGACTAATTCATGGTCACATCATGAGAACTAATTCCCATAAACTCCTAACTCAGATACGAGTCAACTCAACTTAGCTCCAACCCTAATGATCCAGAACATTGTCATGTTGTGAGGATATACTCATCACGTCATGACAACATCAAGTCAAATTAATCGGGGAAATTCTCCCTCACATCGTGACCTCCAAATGGTCATGTTGTGAGTTACGTACAGTGGACATCTTAATGCATTCAACCCTAATCCTTTCCCTCATGCATTCTTACTTTCCAGAAGGTCTTATAGCTTCATAATCAACTTATTAATCAATGCTTTGTGGACATGTATGTACAATACATGTGTAGATCTCATTTTGGGTGAAAAATGTAGAAAAGTTCACTAAAGTTCTTATGCAAAGATTCAAAACTCTACCATCTATTAGATCTGAAGTTTATATCATTCTAGAGACCTTTAGAACTCATAAAGTTACCAACTTAATGGTTTCTTTTCATTCAAACTTGCTTATTCCTTGTTAAAATGGGACAAAACCTAGAACTACCCATAATCAAAATAAAGGTAGAAGCTTTAGCACCTACAAGGGTCCAAAAAAATCACAATAAGATGATGATGATGCTCCCTTGCTAGATTCATAACCAATACACATTCTTATTCTCTTCAATCTATGAAAAACACCAAAGTGAGATCTAAAATGGAGTGGAGGAGTTAGGGTTTCTCTCTTTCTGGCTTGGAGGTAACGGGGATGAGGTTTAAGAAAACTCTATCCACTCACTTCCTTTAAATAGGTCCAAAACTCGAAATTAGGGTTTCATTAGGTCTCTTGTCCTTGACACATATAGTGTCACGTTATGATACCTTAATGACACACCCGTATACTTTGACATGTCACGGCGTGAGAGGGCTACCTTCATGTCATGACCAATCCCAAATCCAAAAATTGATAAGTTTTTTATATCTAAAATATCACGATGTTACATCCCCCAATTAAATCAAACTTTGTCCTTGAAGTCCGTTGTTGAAAAAAACTCGGACTAGTTCTCCCTCATCTCCTCCTTGGGTTCCCATGTCTACTTAGAACCCTTCCGGTGCTTCCATTGCACTTTCACCAACTCTACTAATTTGTTACACAAGGTCATGGTCTTCTGATCCATAATCACCACTGGTCTGACTACATAATTCAGGCTCTCCTCCACCTAATATCATCTAACGGAACCATAGCGGAATCAGTGGCCAGAAGCTTCTGCAGTTGAGAGACATGGAACTTGTTGTAGATCTGGCTCAGCTAGCTAGTGAATCCAACTAATATGCAACCTATAAGTCCCCAAATCGCTTTGATGTATTAATCCAAACACTTGATGGTGTGGAATCCAATTAAGTAGATGATGCAAGATAGAATGGAGAAGAAGAAGAACAAGAACTAGATGAAACTTCAATGTATTCAATGAATTGATTGATGAAAAATACACACGATTCACACACTTCTCTCTAATTTCTCTCCCTAGAACACAACTATGACAATGATAACTCCTTACTCATTGGACTTCTTCTAAACACTCCCCTAATGACTATTTATATATATGGACCAAAAACCCAAGCCCACAAATCAAATGCTAGACCGAGATCACATGTGATTTCGGTCCAAACTACAATTAAACCCAAGATTGTTTTCGACCCAAGACCTAAAACTACAAAAGCCTAGAAAAGAAAATTATAAACCACATTTTATACCCAACAAGCTCCCCCTTGGGTAT